GAACTCCCGCGGAGCCCGAGCGGGCCGCGGATGGCGGCGTCCGGGGGAGGGGAGACCGCCCGCCCGCTCAGGAAGCACAAAGACGGAGGATTCATCCTGTCGTCGTGGCCCGAGGCCCGGCTCCCCGCGCCCCCGGCTCACTCGCATACATCGTCAGGGGAACAATACCGGGCGTGCGGCCTCCGGGGTTTCGGGCCCCGGGCCTCCCTTGCGTAAGTCTTGGCCGCCCTCGGCGGCGGCGCCCGGCGTGGGCAGCCCGACCCGTAGAGACAAAGAGGCCGTGGCGGTGACCGCGCCCCCAGCCCCCGCTCGCTGCACCCCCCAGCTTTCTGCCGCCTCTTTGGGGAGCCGTTCAGGGCAGGGGGTCGGCGCGGGGCCGGCAGGGTGAGGGACCGGCCTGTCCTGTGGAACTGCTGTTCTGCATGACTCAGTGGTTTTTGGAGAAGGCCCTGCTGGGTTTCCCGAGCGAGGCCTGTGCTTGGCGGGGCATGAGGGTAGGGTTGGGGGACCATTGGGACCCGAACTTGTTCTAAAATCCGCTGGAACGTGGGTGAGGGAGGCTTTGTCGTCGTGTTTTAGGTTTTCCAACGTCGCTGCTTTTCTCGCCCAAGATCTCTTTCATGAAGGAAATGGAGCACCTTCCTCTTTGTTTCATGCATTTAGGCTGGTGAACGTGAAATTCTTTGCTTTCAGCGCACTCCTTGGAGCTATGTTTTGGGAAAGGCCCAGGTTATCTTTATGGATTGTGAATCCCTCCTAAGAATCTGGTCTAAGGACATACTGCTGTAAAGTAGTATATAGGTCACAGAGCCCCTGTTCCTAAACCTGTTGTTCGAGTAATTTACAGACTTAAAAAAAATCAAAATGAATTTCTCTTTATTCATTTTAAAAGTAGAATTTGAGAACTGAATTAGTGAAAATGTTACGATTTTATATTTCCAAGGTTTTTTTTTAAATCGTCTCCCAAAAAGGGATTTGTCGTAGTTTGTTCTCCCCTATTTTCTATTTAAGGCCCGAAATTAAGTCTGGAAAGGAACCTTTAAAAATCTCACTAATCTACTCCGCTTAGCAAAGAGCGAACTGATATATGGAGAGTAAGGACTTGCCCAAGGTCACTGGCTTAATTAGAGGTAGATTAGAGGCTAGAACAGGTATCAAATCCAGGTGAGTGAGTATTCTTAACGTCTTAACATTATGTGCACCTGTAAGAACTAAAATCTATAGGTGTAGAAATTATTTTATTATATTTGAGGCTGGAGAGTGTTTCAGTTGCATGCCCAGGGGTTTTGGGGTTTTTTAATGCTATGAATTAGGAAGCCAAAACTATAAAAATAAACATTTCAGCTATACCTGATGTAGCTGCCACATGAATGATCAAGTTTCTATCAACTTCAAAGATACTAAATAGTAATGGTACTGTGTTTTTCTAAAATACTGCCAAGTAGGAGGGAACTGCAGTACCTAATGGCAACCCCTCCACTCCCACCACCAAATTGCCACTAAACGTGAAGATTCTTTCTGACCGTGAAGCTCTCTACTCTACTGTGCTTGGTTTCTACTGTGCTTGGTTTCTATAAACAAACCCTGACCATTTTGGCTTCATGAGAGATTAATGATGCTTGCATCTTCTTGATTGAATTTGAGATGGTTCTCTATCCCTCCCTACATTAGAAAAAACTGTAGCAGTCTTAATGGCATCATTTTGTTTTGTTTTCTTATTATATATTAGATGTATGAAGGCTGCATCCTTAGTTCTTGTGGTTGTGTAGGAGTTGGCAGGCTCTGAGATATAAATAGAAGCTGATTTCAGAGGCCCCTGTTGACTAGGCTTTATGTGAGAGCCTCCATCCAGCTCAGCCTGTCACATTGCAGCCTTGTGACAGGCTGAAGCGCCGGTCCATGTGATCTAAGCTTCTGAAAAATATTAAGGCAAGCTGTGCACATGTGATGGCATTTAAAAGCTGGCTTTCTGGGTAGGAAACAGTCTACAAGATGAGAAGCTATGTAGAAGACTAATGTCCTGGTGTCTAAGAGTTGAAAGCTATTTATACTGAATTGAAGGTAGCTGTGTTTTCTGAAGAAGGAAAGGTGGAATACGTTCCACGGTCAAGTGGGTGAAATCATTGGATGATACTGCCCCACTTTTTTTTTTTATATAAAACAAAAGATTTTAAGAATCAGATTAGTTAATAATCTTAATGTTGGTTGGCTCATTTAGGCCAATTTACTTTTAAAGACACTGTCAAATGACACTGGAAGTTATTATTAGTATATGTGCTGCCAGAGCAAGCGCAACACTGAAATTGTGAGCTAACATAATTTTTAACCTGGGTTCAAGGAATAGCCCAACTTTTGTTTAGGGTAAAGTTTCACACACTTTGCATTGTGGGCATGCAAATAAATAGATAATGTATTATTTGAAGAATTTTTTTTTGCCCACATGCTCACATTTTTAAAAACCCAGCTGAAAGTGTTTATTAATAAACTTCGTAAGTGATGTTGAAATGTTTACACTACTCTGTTCCAAAATGAGTCAGCTAAATTCCATTTACTATTTAAAGGGACAGTGTCAGCTAAATTAGTGCTGTTTGAAGTAAGTTGTGGCTCTTGGTCCCTCCATACAAGTTTGATTGGCTTGAAAATGGTGTCTTTTTACTAACAGAAGGAAAGATTATTATCATTTAACTGGTGGAATAATTGTCAGGACTCTGCCAGGTCAAAATTGATTTAATCTTCCTCCATCCTTTTTATAATTTTGTTTATAAAAATAGCTAATACTTGTTAAAACATTGTTTTTAATAACTCACCAAAGAATGTTACCTCTAGTATGTGGTAGTTGGAAAAAGCCATACGAAATTCTAGGAGATGACAAACTCTAGCTTGAAGTACTTTTCCTGCATTTTTAAATGTTCATATCTTAATCATAAGTGATCTCCATTATCATTATTAAGGTACATTTAGCCCACAGTGACCACAAGTTAGAGCACATGATCTTTCTTTGAAAAAGTGCTCTCAAGTGTGTTTTACATTCATACTTATTTTAAAGTGACATGGTGGAAACCTTCACATTTTTCTTAAATAATGTGTACTTTCTCTTAACTCTGAGGAAAATTTACCAAATTTAGCCACATATTACTATATTTGTGCTAATTTTAACAAGACTTCTGGAAAAGCGAGAGTATTTTATTGTATAAAGTTCTTTCTGGTAGCCTAACATTAAATATTAACCATTATTAAAGGTGGTATATTTATATTGTTTTACATTGCTATATTGAAATTAAGCTTTAAAAGGTTTTTTGCAATGAGTAAGATAAGCACTTGTTAAAAGCTTTAATAGGTGGAGGCTTCACCTGAGAAATTTGTGGCTGATAATGTACATTGCAGGTTTCCAGGCACTGACTTTAAAGTACTCAATCCCTGATTTCACACCTCAAATGTAGACCGTAAAAACCTAAGCAGTTTGACCCCTAACATAAAGAGCTTCACTTTTTGATGCCACTGTAACAGGAAAGGCTAGATAATCTACCAGCTCTCTTTTCAGTCTGCTATGAAGGTGTTGCAACATTTTAAAAGTACAAATGCTCTGCCTCATGGAGAAATTGTTGAATTACTAGAGGGACCCAAGTATGTTTAGGTGTTAATTTTAGGACAGCTTTAGAGCTATATCCAATATGCATCTGGTTTAAAGAACCACTGGTAGATCTCAAGAATCTAATTAATTATATTAGTGTATTTTTTTTCCATTTGCAAGTTCATTTATTTTTAACCAATGTACAGGTGAGCAGAAAGTGACTTAAAGCTATCAGTTGCCCAGATTGATTTAAACATAATTCTTAGGCAGAGTGACCTTTTCAGAAATTGAAATAAAAAACAATAGCGATAGGTGAAATAATAAATTTTAATGTTTAATGGAGAATTTTTTTGTCCTTAAGAATGTTAAGTTATTATAATTCATTATTTATCAAGCTAAAACAATTTCTTTCATGCCTTTTGTTTTATAAAGGCGGCAACGAAACAGTTTTCTTGGCCTACTGTTTTTAATAATTAATGCAGTGGGCCTTTGTTAGAAACAGACTTGGTGTTTAAAATAACAAAGGTACACTGGTAACCATCATACTGATTTAGTGATTTTATTTTGGTTCCATGCTGGTTTCTAAAATTTTGTTTTTGTTTTGTTTATAGCAGAAAAATATGGCTCAGGAGACTAACCAGACCCCAGGGCCCATGCTGTGTAGTACAGGATGTGGCTTTTATGGAAATCCTAGGACAAATGGAATGTGTTCTGTTTGCTACAAAGAACATCTTCAGAGGCAGCAGAATAGTGGCAGAATGAGCCCAATGGGTAAGTTGTTTCCAAGGAAAAACCCATTTGAAGAACTGGTGGACAGAAAACATAGAGCCAAGAATTGAGGCCTAAGACTGAGAATCAATGCTGAAAGCCCAAGGAGGAAGACCTGAGGAAAGCTTGAAATTAAAGCAACATCCCAAGTACTTGGCATGACTACATCAGGAATGAATGACTATCTTCAAGCATCTTCTAGCTTTTTCATTTTCTTTTTTGAGGTTTTGTTTCATACTTGTATTCACTGGATATAACTTTTTAATATACATTTTTGTTTGGATACTCACTTAAGTGTAGGATTCTGCAGCACAGTGAAAGTGCTTAAATCACTAACCTAATTAAATGCAAGTATTTGTTAACTTATTAATAGTCTTAATACTGAGTGTAGTGGTACTTTGTTTCTTACAAATCCTTCTTTTAAATAGGGACAGCTAGTGGTTCCAACAGTCCTACCTCAGATTCTGCATCTGTACAAAGAGCAGACGCTAGTTTAAACAACTGTGAAGGTGCTGCTGGCAGCACATCTGAAAAATCAAGGTAAGATTGAGCATTTCGTGATTTTTTTTTTTTTTTTTTGATAATACAGGGAGGAAATAAAGACCTATGGTATCCATCCATACAATTATAATTATGAACATTAATATAGAATAAGGACGTTAATATATCAAATGCCCTTGGCTTTGCATGTGTTGCCCAGTCAGGGATTTCAGTATCTTAACATTATGATCTTACAGGTCATTGAGTAAAGATGTATATTATAACACACACCATAACACCCCCAAGGATGCTGTATTTGAGAATGCTGTGCTTTTATTTCCTTGTAATTGACATTTAGGGATTGTAGTGAATGAGGCTTTGCAGACTATTGGAATGCCACAGAAGGCATTTTGACAAAGCTTGCCCCCCTTTTGCCCTTAAACAAATAACAAGTACAGCTCAAAATTCTTAGTTAGCTATACATAGTAACCTATACAAATATGCAGCCTTGGATTGATGAGCCATTTATCAGATTGCTTTCTTTATTCACAACCATTTGTGCTGGGCATCCAATATCTTTTTAAAATTTTAGATTATTTAGCTCCATTTGATCATGTTGAAAATAATATTTAAACTTGAACTGACAACTTACTATCTCACAAAGAAATACCCTTAACATCTTTAAAAATGTTTGCTTTAACTCAAAATAGAAATGTGCCTGTGGCTGCCTTGCCTGTAACTCAGCAAATGACAGAAATGAGCATTTCAAGAGAGGACAAAATAACTACCCCGAAAACAGAGGTTTCAGAGCCAGGTATGCTTTTTGTTTCATACTAGTTCAGTTCTGATAGTATGAGAAATGGTTGGTGGAGAGAGTCTTTCCTTCCCATCAAAAGACCAAAGAAGAGAGACAGCTTATAAAATAACAGGCCAAGAAAGAACCACTGTCTTTAAAAAGTGTAAAATTGTCACTCTACTCTCTTCCTCTTTTGTCTCTGCCCTCCCTCCCCCTTCATAATTCACACCCATAAATCAGCAAAGTTTGTAATTTGGAGACTGGAATTATTAAGAATTTAATGAACTTAAAAGGTGGTTTACTGTCATATTTTAAAGGTATCTAAATCATTAGAGAAGCTATATAGCTCATCAACCTAGAAGAAATGATCTAGATTAAATTTCAGAGCTATGAAGAATTCTATAATCAAAAGCAGTAACTTCAGTCTGGATATGGTCAGTATTGTGGAAAAATATTCAAGCAAAAGAACACACTGAACACCTTTCAAATCGAAGTGTTGGGTCCTATATTTTGTGGGAGCTTAAAACTCTGTATGGAAAAGTATGTGGTTTTCAGTCATGTCTTTGAGTCTGTGCTTATCTTACATAGTTCAACCAGAGGTGCTATAATGTGCCAGAAGATTGCCTTGTTTGAATTATCTATGCTATGCCTAGAACAAGGATCTGTTTACTCTATCTTTAGTGCACATGGTTTGTTTTTGATCAATTCATTATTTCCCGGTAGTGTTGACTGAATACAACATAAGACTTTATTGTGAGGAAATAGTGTCAGTGGATATGTAATCTACTTTGGAGGCTTGCTTTTGCTAATATCACATAGCCGAGCTCATGTGAACTATATCTCAATTTATAAAGTAAGGTGAAAATTTTTAAGTTGGGCTGGTGAATCCATATCTGATATTTTCTTAACCCTTTCCCTGTATGTCTTAGGAACCACTGTTAAGTTTTCAGATGTAGCTGAGGAAATGATTGTCACCCCTCTCTGCCCCTAAAGATTATTCCCAAAGATTATTCTTTACCCTCATACTATCAGGAAAAATTATATCGAGGTTATCATAGTAGATTATTAGGAATAAGTAATAGGTGAAATAATCTGTCTAATATTAGGTTCTTAATCTCACTGGATATATTACTAATGCAAATGAGTTATAAATTTGGGAGGAATTTTAGAGTAAGTCGTTATTAAACCAGTTGGCTTTCTTCTAGAGTTTGGATTTATGCTAACATCTTTGGTGCTGGCCTATTTATCAATAATTTTAGCATTGCATACATTAATTTGTTCTTGAGGTTTGGATTAATAAAACTTGGAGTTTACAGTGCTTTCTGGTATAGCCGAATTTTATAAAAAAATTAAACTTGGTATTTTAGTAGTATGGGCTTTAATATAGTAATTTGCAATTTTACCTTCATATTGACAAATTCTATTGATGTCATATGAGAACTAAAACTCTGTCTAAATTCCATATCTGTTTTAGATAGTATCACAAAGTAATTAGAAGATGTGTTTTTAAAAGTCTTTTGCTTGTGGAATCCTAAATAGATTAAAATCAAAATTTCATGAATACTTATCCTAAAGACAACATTTGTTAATCTTTCAAAAGAAACTTTAAAAAATCTTCCAGATTTTCTCCATAAGATAATATAAAGCACTTGTTAAAATGGCAAAATAATTATTGTGAAATTTTAGTATCTGAACAGAAGTTAGTGATTAATGATTTGAGTATTGTCAAAATTTTCTGGTTTTATCAATGCAATCTTTTTTCTATCAGTATAAACCAAAATAACATTTTTTTTTTAACAGTCAACTACCTCAGAAGTTGGCAACTTTATTTACTCAGTAGTAATGAATTCTGATACCCCTAATTAAGACTTTTACATTTAGGCATTTGCAATACAGAAAAACCGAGCACGTGACCAACATCTCTTAGGTCTTCAAAAACTTAGAATTAAGATTTTGTTTCTCATTACCAGAGCGAGTTTAAAGGAATTTGAGTAGAGTGATCATTTTACAGAATTTAGAGAAGGAAGTAGTAGTGTTATAGTGATTGACAAATAATAATCAGATTTGAAAGTTCTGATGTTAAAAGATTTTATTTAAAGTACATGTTTTTAAGAAAGGCTGAAACATTTTCACTAAGAATCTTAACTGTTTCTTAAAATTTTTTTTTACTTAGATTATTGTCAGCCAGTGAACTCTTCACAAGTTTGTAATTTTTACCCTTATTTTTCAGTTGTCACTCAGCCCAGTCCATCAGTTTCTCAGCCCAGTACTTCTCAAAGTGAAGAAAAAGCTCCTGAGTTACCCAAACCAAAGAAGAACAGATGTTTTATGTGCAGAAAGAAAGTTGGCCTTACAGGTATTACAGAACACATTAGCCAATCTATATTTTACTAGGATTCAACAAAAATCTCCTCGTTACTCCCTAACGGGCTGGTTGGTTTTACACATTAAAAAAAAAAACCTGATTTTCAGGAATAGAAAGTTTCCAGAGTGGGCTATTTCGAAAGGAGGATAGTGGGGAAAAGTTGAGTTGATTTCCATTTGTCTCCCTAATCACATGAAACCCTTTATTCACTTGAGACCTGTGAATTACTTTCCTTTATTGGACTGATAAAAATTCGTCCATCCCTTTTAATTCTTTCATTTATTCTCCTGGGGAAAATATAGATGAACTACACAATAAGCACCTACTTTGAGCCAGGCACAAAATATTCCAGATACTTTTTGTTTCCTTTAAATCTCAGAACTCTGTGGTTGTGTTTTTCTAGTTTTCAATTGAGGAAACATTACCCAGTTAATACATGGTAAGAGTAGGATTTGAATCCAGATCAGTCAGTCTGACTCCAGAGCCTTTAATTTCTACCCTGTATATTGTCTACAGGAGTTTATGGAAGGATAGTTATTTGAATTTCTCACCACGTTGAAGAGGTTTAAAAGCTCTTTCACAATTGAAAGTGATAGATTCTATCTTTTATGTTGTAAAGAGTCCTGAAAATCTGGTTCCTTTTTCTATAGTGAGTAAGGCTATTTTTTTCCTTTTAATTGCTGTAAGTTCCCAAGTGACGCTACTTCCTCTCGTGTGTACAGGGTTTGACTGCCGATGTGGAAATTTGTTTTGTGGACTTCACCGTTACTCTGACAAGCACAACTGTCCATATGATTACAAAGCAGAAGCTGCAGCAAAAATCAGAAAAGAGAATCCAGTTGTTGTGGCTGAAAAAATCCAGAGAATATAAATTACTACTTGTGAAGAGACTGAAACTTTGTTTTTATTTTAATATATCGTAGGAAAACATTAAAGAGCAGATGCATGGCCATTTTCCTTTGATGTTCTCCAGAGTTTTACTTTATACTTGTCTGTCTTATAATTGATATTTTAGGATGTTTGGGTGTTTGTTACAGGCAGAATTGGATAGATACAGCCCTACAAAATGTATATGCCCTCCCTTGAATAAAATTGGATGAAAATCTGCACAGCAAATTGAGTTACACAGATAATAGGGACAAAATTTAGTTCCCACGTGCCAAACAAAGTAATGAAATCTCTGCATGTTTGCAGCATATCTGCCTTTTGGGAATGTAATCAAGGTATAATCTTTGGCTAGTGTTATGTGCCTGTATTTTTTTAAAAAATGGTACACCAGAAAAGGACTGGCAGTCTACTTCTACCATAGTTAAACTTCGCCCTGTTTATTTCCACAACATGTTCTTTGGAAGCAGGAAGAAGGCTATAAAGAGGATCAGACCTTTCCGTGATACCAGTGTTGGTGCCATATGTAATCCTGGCTAATTGGTCTTCTAAAACCTGTCAGATAAGACATTCTATGAAAAGGTAAACATGGCAACTGGTGGTCATAAGAGTAAAATCATCAAGCAACAGGGTCTTGAGCTATCGCTGAAGATTGTCGTGCTGGCCTGCACCAGAAGATGTCTGCATTACTCTCATTGCTAAAAATGTGTAGCACAGAACTGCACTAAGATTAATTTGTTTACAAGAAGAAGTTAAAACTCTACGTTTGTTTTTCACATGCAGCAGCTCTATTGAATAACATGCATCTGAATTTTAAGTTGCAAAGGTATCTGAACAGTTAATTTTTCATGTGCATCTTTTGTTGAATGTTTTGGTTCAAGAAAGAATGTTTAAAGCTTTTTTTAAAGACTTCAGTTCTTAATGTAACTGTACCCTTCTGCATGGAAAATCATAACCAACATGGCTGCAGTAGACTTAGTGGTATCCAGCACCACTTGCAGAGGGCTGCTTTATCATATTAATTGTACTTGGGTGTAGGACTCTAGTGTTCTTGGGTGTATTGCATGGGCTGCATTATCTACAGCATTGTACAATAACAACTAGAAGAGGCAGTATACTTCACTGATGCTTGTCTGGTAATATCACTTCTGTGTTATAATGGAAGGTTTTCTGTGATGTATGAAACTTGTGTTTTTTATATATAAATGAGTATAGTTAGATTAGTGTTGTGGTAATGCCTGTTTTCATCTGTAAATAGTTAAGTATGTACACGAGGCACTACTTCTGATTTATTGCAGTGTTCAGTCCTAGTTTTTACTTTTAAAGCATTCAGTTTGGTTTCAATTTTATGTACCTTAGTTCTGAGTTAGATCTGCAGATGTGTACAGATAGTTCATATTTATGTATTGCACATAATCATGCTATTGAGCATTGATGCTATATTGTATTATGTAAATAATAAAAGCCATGTACAGAGGGAAACTTCCACTCGTTCATTGGGTTTTTAAGCCTTAGTTAGAAATCCTTGAGGGGGATAATTAGAAATATGGACGAGAAGAAGACTTCTTAGTTGTGTATGTAGATAGTATGGCTTTGTGGTAATTACTGTTTTTTCCCATTGCCATCCCTGAATGTGTTCAAGTGAGAACCATGAGATGAGTTTTTTGAAACATCTTCAAGTATGATACATACTAGGCAATTTGCTTTTGAGGAAATGAATAGGCACTTTTAGGATCAAAACAATCTTAGCACTTAAGTGAAAGGAAAGAAATTTAAACAATGCGACACCTCCCTTTTTTTTTTCTTTAGATTTCACTTTAGATATGACAATTTGTATACAAAAACAGGCATAAGCATAGTGTTGTTTCTTGTGTGATTCTAAGGTAGAGATGGATACATGGGCTTGGTCTTTGCAGATGTCATGTGAGATAGCAAGGAATAACACTGACGTTCTGACTTTGCCCATGGGGTAGCTAAAGCCAAGAACAGAACCATGGCTTCTCAATGACAGAGTTTGAGATAGAATACTTATCCTGGCTCATTATCTTCTATCACAGCTCTTTGTGTGTTTCTACTTTTGCTTCAAATGGGGAAAATATATATGTGTAGAAGTCCATATGATGAAATAAGGAAAGTATTTCTCATGAAATAATGAAGGATGCTGAAGAATCACTATTGAGTTGATAATTATGGTATCAAGGAGATAACTTTTAGTCAAGGTTTAAAAAGACATTTCACCTCCCAGTGCTACCTCTGCCAATAAATATTTGCTTGATAAATTTTAAATCTTAAAGTTTTGAAATCAAAGGGTGATGTGGGGACAAAGAAGACAAATGGGGAGATGATGGATCTTGGACTTCATTGGTCTATACAGATCTTGAGTAACACAAGAAACACCAAGAATGGATTTGTCAGGAGCATCAATTGGGGAGAAGGGAGTCAATCTGTAATGCAGCTAGGAAGATTCAATTCTACCTAGACTTTAAGATTCAAACCTGAATATTTATCTGGCAAGGCTAAATATGGGCTTTAACTTTGGAATATACTCAGATAAGCATTTAAGAATATGCCGTGTTTCTTCTTAAAGATATCTTTGCACATCCCCACTACAAAAATGTTTTTCAAGGACACACCCATGATAGGAATATGCTGTTATGACCTTGGGCTAATTTTATCAAATCTGTTCCATGGTGGGCTTTAATCTGTAAAATGAGCCTCGGGTTTTAAGATCAGGTGACCTGACAGTGCAGATGACTTTGCAAAGGAAAGAACTCAAGCGGTGTGTGGTATAGTGGTTAGGATAATGGACCCTGGAACTGGGCTTCATCTCTTAAGGGGATGGTACATAGTATTTCCTATTAAATTTGTTAAAGGCTGTAGAGCACTTTTAGGTCCATAGCAAAATTGAGAAGAAAGTACAGAGATTTCCCACATGCCCTCCCTCAACACAGGTATAGCCTCCACGATTGTCAACATCCCCTACAAGAGTTGAACATTAAAATTGATGAAACTACATTGACTCAATCAGCCAAAGTCCATTGTTTACAGTTCACCATTGGTATTACACTTTCTGTGGGTTTAGACAAATATATAATGATAACTACTGATCATTAAGTTATTATATGGAATAAATCTGCCCTGCCTATACCTACACCTCACCCCAACCTCATGGCAATTATTAGTATTTACTGTCCATAATTTTGCCTTTTCCAAAATGTCATATAGTTGGAATCATACCTTTTCAGACTGGATTATTTTCACTTAGTAATATTCACAAGTTCCTTCCATGTATTTTTATGGCTTGATAGCTCTCTTTAGTGCTACATCATCGATTTTCTGTATGTGCCACAGTTCATTCATTCACCTACTGAAAGACATCTTGGTAGCTTCCAAGATTTGTCAGTTATTGAATAAATTTGCTATGTGTATAGGTTTTGTGTGAACATTAAGTTTTCAACTCCCTTGAATAAATACCAAAGGTGATTTGCTGGATTGTGTGGTAAGAATATGTTCAGTTTTGTAAGAAACCGTCAAACTGTATTCCACATGGCTGTGCTATTTGGACTAAGTCTTAGCAGCAAAGTGTGAGAGTTCCTGTCATTCCACATCTTCACCAGCATTTAGTGTCGTCAGTGTTCTGGATTTTGGCCACTCTAACAGGAGTGTAGTGGTATCTCACTGTTTTCATTCATATTCGCCTGATAACAATGGAACATCTTTTTGTATTCTTATTTGCCATTTATCTTTGCTGAGGTGTCTGTTAAGATCTTTGGCCCATTTTTTAATCTGGTTTTCTTATTTGAATTTTAAGAGTTCTTACTGTGTTGTTGGATAATTGTCCTTTATCAGACGTGTGTGTTGCAAATATTTTCTCTCAGTCTATGATTTGTCTCATTCTCTGAGCTATTTTAATGTCCTAGAGTAACGATTTCTAAAACTTGGAAAGAGAATTATTTGAGAATAAACAAGATTAGTTACATTAAGTGTGTATAGTGAAAAGATAAAATTTCCAGTTTAAAGCGATTAGAATGATTTCAGTAAGGCTTTCTTTGCACATGTCTGTTAAATGAAGTTCTTAGCAAGTAACTAAAAAGCAAATGTCTACTAAGTAATGTAATAGCACATGTTAAGCTGATTACTGTTGTAAAATTTTAAATTGGTAATATACTTTCAGGGTTCAGAAATTTATCGATATACATTGAGAAGCAAAGCCTCTATCAGCCTGTTTCGTATCGTCTATTCCAAAGACACACACACATTTTAGGTAACTACCATAACTTGGAAAGGTTATTTTATCTCTTCCACATCACATAAAGCTTGACTTAATTTGCCTCTTGTTTGTGTAATCGTTAGCAAAGTTGTTATAGTGATTTTTGTCCATAAATAGTAGCTTACAATTTTGGAGAGAATGATGGGTGTAGGTGCTGGTTGATTAGCAATAAGATTATGTAGCCTTGAACTACATAGAAAGGTTTCTGTGAGTGAGGCAGCAGGTACTTTATGAAAAGTTACTGAAAATTTGACAAAGCAGTTTCTGCTTTAAAAACGTTCAGTAGAATACAAAAATATTTCCACACACAAACACTGATTTTTAAGTCATATAAAAGCAAAGAGCACTGTTTTTATGTTTTCTCCCAGAGTGTGTTTCTGTTCTAGTCTTAGAAGTAAATGTTACATCATTTTGTGGTGTAAATGTAAGACTCCATTTTGTCTGCAACTAAGTACTTTTTCTTTTTAGTATAGGTAATGATGTTACTAAGTCATACTTCACATGTGATACTTAAGTCAACAGCAAGATAACAGCTTTTACAGGTTTTTTTAGTTGGTTATTGTATTTTTATTATATTTAGCTGTGTTCGAATGTATTTTTCTTTGTCATTTTGATTGAAACTATCACCATAGAACCTCAGATTGTATCTATCTGAAATGACTGCTAACGAAGGTGTTTAAGAATTAGGGTAATCTATCAGTGTACTCAGAAGTTAATAGAAAATCTAATGCATTCCTAAGTTTTAGGTGAGTGCAGGAACTCAGAAAAATAGCCTTTACTTAAAGGACTTACCCTTTAGAGCTTAAGAATCAACCAAAAAACATACATATAATAAAATGTCCTACATGAGTTCCACTTAAAATACTAGTGTCGGAGTAAATTTCTCTGATCCTGTGTGTATAATCCATGGCAAATTAAAAGATGGTATCTGATCTTTGCTACATAATATGCTTATGCCCTCTTTTCCCTCTCCATCACTGAAAATGTATTCAAACATTTAAATTAGAATACCAAGCAAACAAACATGATTAGATTTTTCTCTTGTGTGGCATTACATCTGCTCATGTATAGAACTTCAAGAATTGATAGTACTTTTTTCTTTCAAGCATTTTTTTAAAGAAAACTTCCTGGTGTTCTGATTCCATATCCATATCCTATGAAGAAAGTACTTCCTTACTAGGGTGATGTTTTTTCAGGAACCCTTGCCCTAGACACACCCCATGTGCTTAGAAATATCACCCACGTACTAAGAATATTTGGTTTCTAACGTCTTACACTAATTGCTATTATAAAAGTAATTCTGTAAAAGTTATATTTAATATGAATGGTTAATCTGCAACTCCACCCGTTAGCCTTTAGCATCTGTGTTATAAGTGCCTGCTAAAATTACCTGTGTTTAAACAAGTTACATTTTTAGCTGTTCTGTGGATTACTTGGTTGGGACGAAAATTAGATTGTTTTGCATATCTAGGACAGCATAACCAGTTCTTTCAGTGTCCAGATTATATCTGGTGACAAAAGTAATATGAGATGTTAGAGATTTAATAAATAATAATACCTGTTAGAAAAAAAGTGTAATATATAGATGTCAAGATATCATGCATTCATCTTAAGGCATGACCCTTTAGCATTTAAGTGACAAGCATGCTTATTTGGATCTTTGATTAAAAGAAAGTGAGGCTTTTAAAGTGGATTAAGAGTAGCAGTTTTTTTACTTGTTAAATTGGGATGAGGAATTTTCTAGACTCTAAGAAAGTTATTTTTAAGGACCCTAGACAATTATCCCAGCTAACTAGTGACTAAATCTGCCCAATGATGTACAGTCCTTACACAGAAGACCCAAACTGTACTGAACATAATAGTACTGAATGATAACATTTCAAACCTTAAAGTTCAGTTGTGTGCATTAGTTAAGCTAGATCAATGACTGATTTTTCAAATGAGCTGGGATATATGTAGTAGAAACCAAATGAAATGGGTCTAGTAAAGTCCAGATGTTCTCACGGTTTTCACCTGGAAGGCTACGTCATCCTCGACAGAACTGAAAGGAGCAGGTTCAGTAAGGCATGCCTGGTTTCAGTTCTCAAGGAGATCATAAACGAGTACAATGCTTAAGAAAGATCTGAATTACTAAATTGGCCATGTTGATTCTAGAACTGAGAAAGTAAATTTCTTTTGAGTTTTCTAAGAATCAGTGGTCAGAATTAATGTT